TAATGTTATGTAAATTTCTAGTTGTAATCAAGCAAAAATCTGGATTAATTTTCTGCATTATTATATATATAAAAGAAATTGAATTACACATAATATAGTTCGATTGACCAGTCCTTGAGATCGACCCGGGAAACGAGTTTTTAACTCGGTGCTCGGAAAAATATAAAACAAAATTTGCTACAACACACTACACCAAAATCGGGAGCCATCGCAAATTATGAAAATAAGCTAAGTAATTTATTTTTACGAAATCTAATCTTTCACAACTTCCCTCTCTTTTGTCTGAATACGTTTGTTGTGCAATGGGTTGTTTATATAGGAAAATATCATGATTGCGGATATGTGATGCATTGTCTGACATGTACACATGGTAGACATGCTCGTGAAGCCTTCGTCCTATCTACTCAGCTTTGCAGAATAAGCTTAAGCGTAAAAGTAGACCTGCAACCATGTGCTGATGCTAAACAAGCTCGTTAAGCCTTAGTCCAATCTACTCAGCTTTGCAGAAAAAGCTTGACTCCACATGTAGACATGCAACATGTTGTCATAGCGCGTGCTAACAGTTATAAATATTTTGAAAGAATAGTTTTGTTGAATGGTGAATTAACCCTTTACACAATGACAGTTGTGCGTAAACGTTGACCAGTAGCTTTGTTGTTGGTTGGGGAATGGTCATGCAAAACAGCTACTGTATGCTCACATGCATTAACTTGTACGCATGGGTTCAACAACAAAAGTTACTTTTACTTTTATAAGATGTAACAGCAAAAGACGGTGAAACCAATTCCAGAAGCGACAAGCTTTTTTATCGGGGCAGGTTAGATATGCACATGGCTAATGAAAGACGTATGATGCATGTGTTTCTCAGCTGTGTGTATTGGATTACACCTTCTATTCACATAACCTGCACACAGAATAGTACGTACTTGCTAGGTTCAACACTCTTTATTGATTCAAAACGCTTTATCATCAATTGACATATCTAAGGTCCTTTAAAAAGGGACACAGATATAACAAAACAAAAGAAATTTAATTCAAACCACGATTGAACTACATAATGCTGTTCCAGATTATAAGACGTAGAAAGTAGATGAGTACATAGAAGAGTACAACAAAACTAAACAAAGACCTAACACAAACCATAGAAAGTAGATACATATTATTATTCTTATTTCATGATAAGCATCCATACGATTAAGATTACAAGTAAAAGCACAAGAACTTTGGTCTTCTTCTTCAGTTGTGCAATTTCTTTGTCCAGTTTCTTTATTTTTTTCATGTACATCTCCTTCTCTTTGTCCTCAAGTTCAGTTGCAGACTCGACATTGTGGCGATTTGTTGCAGCTTGTAACCGGTTTATTTTTCTCAAGAGACCGGGGATTATTTCTTTTGATCTTGCACACATCGGAGGATCAAACCAATTCCAAAAGCGACAACCATTTTGGGCACAATCAAAGTACCTCCTTCCTGGGTTCGTGGTAGTCCACGAAGTTTGCAGACGAGCAACTTCACGGCAAGTACAATAGACACCGGCTACTCTTCTTGATGAACTTGAACTTGAATAACTCATGTTTTTGTTTCCTTGAAAAACATTTTAACACAGGGCTTGTAAACAACAAAAATGCAACAAAAACATAAACTATGCATCAATTGGAAAAACAGAAATTGTAGTCAAGGAATAGGCCTTATAAACCGAAATATAAAAACCTGCAAAATAGTGGATTCAAACATATCAAACAAATTCTCCTCCCACAATCAGGCCATATATCTCTTTTTCATAGAGGCACAAACAGGATACACAAAAACAATCGCAAAAACGCAATGAACAGGACATATATTAGTTTTCCCAACTTTAAAGCCAATCAAAAGAACATAAAAAATGAGCATAGACCTCATAAGATCAAAGGTCGGGAGTATGATAAATTCATGTACAAAGCATAGAAACAGAGACTACACATCATCATCGGCCATGCCTTCAACTTCCTTGCACTTTACTATGCTTGTACCTCATTTGCAAACACAGAATAAACATGACTAAAACTGAACAACCAAGTACCGCATTTTCCCTTTAAACTTCCATCTAATAAGCATGCCTTCAGATCATTTTGAAACAGATAATAAAACATCATTATACCTGAGCGCACATTTACCTTGTAAAAGAAAATGGAAGAGAAAGCTCGATTAAAGACTTGGGTGCCGGTGTCGACGAAATTGGATTGGGGGCTCGCGGCTCTTGGGATGTATTCTCAAACAGAGGGTTCGATAAAAAGTTTCGTCTTCTTTTTGCCACTGTCTCAACCACGAAATCCTAAGAACGAATGAAATAGATTCGTAGATTCTCAATTCAAATGCAATTATAAAAGGGACGAAAGGGGAAAAAATTTGCTCTTGGAATCATATAACACATTCGCATGGACAACCGAGTTATACCTCGTCAAATAGTCGTGCTCTTCGTCCTCATTTTTTCAAATCTTCGATAGGTGAAACCTGCGCCGCTTCGTTTGCGACCGACTGCACTGCCACCTCAAACGCCTTTACTGCAGAGACGACAAAGCTCACCACCGTGGCTTCTGTACTGTCGAAAATGTAGGATTCAAATTCAAAACTAGGGTTCGTCGATTTGGGTCGATGTTCTTGAAAAATGAAAGAGGAAGACAAAAAGGTGAAATACATATGTTAATTGAGAAGGGTAAAATAGTAACCTACCTTTTCAGGTTTAAACCACAATACATTTTAATCATGTCAGGTAAACAGAGGATAGGATTAGCCTAAAACCCTATCTTGTTTAGTAAACAGGGATAGTATCTGACGTGGCAAATTTGGATGGATTGAATAATCTAATCCTATCTTCGCTAGTAAACAAGGCCTATAAAGATCATAATCATAGAGTTTGACTATATGTTTGGACAAAATATTTTGCATTGTTTGAATAAAGTAGACTTTTTGCCTAATGACTTAAGAAGAAATTGCATATTGATGTATAGAATTCGAATCGGTATGAATGTTTTTATTATGAGAACGTCAAAACTAAAATGAAAGAAAATCACTCTTGAATCATCAAACATAAATAAAAAAAAAAGAACTAATGCATTTATAATGTACATTGTCTTTATTTAGTTATTTAGTGTCTTTTTTTTAAAAAAAAATTATGGATTCATTTTTCATGTATTTTTGTCGGGGTTGTAATATGTTATTTTATTTTTTTTATATTAGTACATCGTTATGTAATATTTGGACAAAAAAATACATTAGGAGCTAGCTCATTTGTTCTACATTTTATTTTGTTCCTGCAATAATATGTTTAATAAATTAATTAATTTATTTTACTAAACCTAATCGGCAAAAAAAAAAAACATTCAGCACCACGTGCGATGCACGTGCATTTACTAGTCTATGAAAATATCAGTCCAAATCAGGATAAACTCAATTTTAATAATAAAAAAAATATCTGTCCTCGCGCTCCTCGTGGCCCTCGTGCCAAAATATTATTCGCGATAATCAAAACGCCCATACGCCACACAAATGCCCAAATGACAAATCAAATCAATGAATCCACAATAATGGAGACCAAAAGTTATAATAAAAAGGGAAAGGTCCAAAACATATTTATAAATACAACAAAAGTTGGGCAGTGAGGACCTCATCTCACTCCCACCCCACACCCAAAGGGAAAAGAAAATAAAAGAAAAAAAAATGTGGAAATTCGCAGCCATCTCAGTGGCGACCATAGTTGTGGTGTGGCTATGGCAAGTATTTCACTGGGTTTGGGTTGAGCCCAGGAGGCTGGAGAAGCTCCTCCGCAAGCAAGGCTTCAAAGGAAACTCTTACAAGCTTCTCCATGGAGACACTAAGGAGATTGCCGACATGTACCGTCAAGTGCACTCTAAGCCGATTGGCCTTCACGATGACATCATGCCTCGTGTTATGCCCTTCATTCTCAAGACCATCAATACATATGGTATTATGTGTTAATTAATTGTATTATGTATGCCGATCATCATTGTTCGATTTGGTAAAATTAAATTCTAACCTAATCTCGCCCTTATTATTGCCCAATCTGCCTGTGTGCTTTTAATAGTAAAATAAACGGGTCTAGGACACGTTGCCATGAAGAAAATTATTAAGTAACCATTTCCTAGTATAATTTTTGTCAATAGAGTATTGGTGTGATTCAGAACATATATATATATATATATATTTGCAGGCAAGAACTCTTTTGCGTGGATCGGGCCAAGGCCACGGATTTACATATCGGATCCGGACCACATGAGAGAGGTGCTGACTAGGCACATCGACTTCCAGAAGAACTTTAGGACCACAAACAAGGTCTACAAATTGCTCGTTGGTGGCATTGTCGAGTTTGAGGAGGACAAATGGACGAGGTACAGGATGAAACTGAACCCGGCTTTTCACTTGGACCGGTTGAAGGTGAGTTTTTTTTTCCATCTTTTTTTACATGATTCCCTTTTTTGGTATAAATTGATGAAAATCCAAAAAAACACAAATCAACTCTAGTAAATGTGTGTACTACGTAGCATATGTGCCCCATAGTCCAGGGCTGCTGTGAGACGATCCTAACCGACTGGAAGAAGAAGATGAAAGATGGGTCGGGAGTGGTTGACGTTTTCCACTATCTGGAGGCCTACACGGGCTCAGCCGTGACTTGCGCGCTATTTACGCATGCCTATGATGATGAAATGAGAAAGTGCTTCCATCTCCTTAGGGACCTTTCCCTCATGGCCAACATAGCCGTCCGGACCTTCGATGTTCCCGGGAAAGGGTCAATTTTTTTTCTTTTTTTCTTTTACTCATCAACTTGTATACCTTATATATAAAAGAGTTTTAGTAATAACATCTTTCTTGATACAGGTACCTACCGACGGCACTGCACCGGAAGGCGAGAGCCATGGAGGGCGAAGTCCGTGACTCGTTTCGGACAATGGTGAACGAGCGGGTAAAGAAGAGGCGGGCAGGAATCGAGGACGGGCGTGACCTGTTCGACCTCTTCCTGGACGAGCTTTACGACGAGAAGAGCGCCAAAGAGGTGGATGTCGAAAGCATTGTGGACGACGCCATTGGAAACTGCAAGCTCTTCTACTTTGCCGGCTACGAAACCACTTCTAATCTGCTGGTGTGGACCATGGTCAACCTCGCTATCCACCAGGACTGGCAGACACGCGGCCGGGAGGAAGTCTACCGCGTCCTCGCAGGCCGCAAGAAGCTGCACCCTGATGACCTCAGCCAACTCAAAATTGTAAGGACATCAACTTGTGATTATTATATAAAATGGGGAAAAATTCAAAATTAGTCCCACAGATATAGGGGGGTGACAATTTTGGTCCCGACGGAATTCACTAAATATGAATGGTCCCACAGCTTTTAAAAAATGATCAAAAGTAGGACTTTTTCGCCGGATTTACTATTTCCGGCCCGGAACGCCATGTGGCGCACACGTGGCTTATTTTTTACACGCTGGCACACACGTGGCGCACATGTGGCTTAGTTTTGAATTTTTTCCTAGATAGGTAAAAATTCAAAACTAGTCCCACAAGTATAGAGGAGTGACATTTTTGGTCCCGATGGAATGCAGAAAATTCAAAACTAGTCCCACAACTTGTAAAAAAATATGAACACGTCGGATGCCACGTGGCGTTCCGGGCCGGAAATAGTAAATCCGGAGAAAAAGTCCTACTTTTGATCATTTTTTAAAAGTTGTGGGACTATTCATATTTTCTGACCAAAATTGTCACCCCCTATACCTGTGGGACTAATTTTGAAATTTTCCCTATAAAATGTGGATGGCTACAGTATCATTCGATGTTTTAGTTTGATATGTCCATGAATGCTGACGTGGCATGCCTACTATATGTAGTGTAATATGATCATACACGAGGTGTTGCGACTGTTCCCTCCGATATTTGAGCTGTCGAGGGTGGTGGAAGAGGACACGAAGCTGGGTGACTATATCATTCCCAAAGACATCCTCATCCAGCTCCCGATTGGCATGCTACACCGCAAGCCCGAGATATGGGGGCCCGACGCCCACCTGTTCAAGCCCGAGCGCTTCGCGGACGGCATCCTCAAGGCCGCTAACGGCCAGGCGGCTCTTCTTCCCTTTGGGTGGGGCCCGCGCATCTGCATCGGCCAGAACTTTGCCATCATGGAGGCCAAGATCTTCCTTGCCACACTCCTCCAGACCTTCACTTGGGATCTCTCCCCTCAGTATATTCACGCCCCTTACGCAGCCTTCACTGTGCAACCACAGCATGGGGCGCCGCTCGTGCTTCAAGAGATCCGCGCTTGAAGCGGATATTACTAATATTCAAGTTAATCAATTCGGCCTATGTGCCAATTTTAAGTGTTGTACAAGTGAAAGATTGTACTTGCATTAGTGGATTCGGAGGGTTGTGCTCCCACGAAATGTTTCCAGCAGTTAATTAATGTGTACTGTACCATTTATATGCTACTTTGTTCAAATAAAATTCCACATGTTAATGTTTTCCTACTTTGCTTCTCTGAATTGTGATCATGGATGTGTTTTGTGAAGTGCACTCTAAGCCAATTGGCCTTCACGATGACATCGTGCCACGTGTTATGCTCTTCATTGTCAAGACCATCAATACATATGGTATTATATTATGTGCTAATTTTTCAATGTACATTGTTTTGTATGCCAGTCATCATTGAAATGAAATATATGTGCCAATGTTTTGTTGAGCCTGCCTGCCTGACTGATTATTGTTTGACTTGAATAGTAAAATAAACGACGTTACCATGAAGAAATTTATTAAAGACATCCATACAAAAGGAAAATATGATTAGCCCCACTTCCTAGCTAGTACGATTTTTGTCAATAGATTATTTGTGAATCAAATCATATATATAGCGAAAAATTCAAAACTAGCCCCACATCCATACAAAAGGAAAATATGATTAGCCCCACTTCCTAGCTAGTACGATTTTTGTCAATAGATTATTTGTGTGAGTCAAATCATATATATAGCGAAAAATTCAAAACTAGCCCCACATGTTGAGTTTGCTATACCGCACGGGGTGAAACGCAGCGAAAATTAAATAAAATAAACAAGCATTTATCGAATAAATACTAACCCCTCGGCTCTTGTAGAGATTGTAACGATCGACATCTTTTAAAATCACGTAATTGTACGAATTTTGATTTGTAGAGAATTTTTAAAATTACCACTTAATTTTCTTTAAATAGCGACTATGAAAAGGGAATCGATTCCCGATTATGTGGCTATCACTGTCTTCTCGTCTCGCCGTAGGATCCACGTGTCTCCCCTCTAAGTAAGTCCACCTTTGGATTCCAACACCGAGATAACATTCTTCGCTAGTAGAATTTATCCCGTGAATCAATTGGTACAAGAAATCAATTAAGTGAGGAGAGATTTTTTTTTTTTCCTTTTCGCTAAAAGAAATCAAAAAAAGGCCGCAGCTAACTCTATAGCCAAACCTTGGGAGGGAGTTGTTCTTGTACATCTAATGTACATATATATAGGGGGCGGATCAAATGGGGCCAGCTCTTAAAATGTGCCCAGCTCTTAAAATGGGACCAGCTCTTAGCAACAACAGACAACTAACCTAGCAACTACAGGGAACTAACCTAGCAACTACAGAGAACTAACCTAGCTACTACTTCCTCTCTTTCACTAATCCTCGAGCAGGCATGTGGTCTTAACCGCGCCCAGCATGACGTCACGTGCGAGAGCTTCGCCTCGAGTGCCTTCGTTCACTATGACAGACAGGAGACAGCCCCGGGGATGGGGCAACCCGCTAGTGCCGCTCTAGGTCAGACTGCCCAGCCAGACGACACACAGACCACGAGCACCTACCGAGGCCGGTAGTCCACGAGGACCAGAGCCACGCAGCGCACGACACGACGGACTGTCTCCCCTGCTACTCGATCCTTTCGCAACATTCCTTCTTTAGGTACCCCGACTCAGCCTCGCCACAGCCGGACTATGTCCGGTGGCTCTTGCGACCGTTGATATGTCTATCACATCCATAACTTGGAATGGCCATGTCCTGGCGAATAGAGCTACTCTCACTCACCTTCATTCCCTCATTCGTGATCACAGACTCGATTTTGTTGGCTTTATTGAGCCGATGATTCGCACTCCTTCTTTTGACTACTACTCACGTCGCCTTGGATTTCACTCGGGCGTGCGTAACATTTCGCATAAGTTCTGGTTCTTTCCCTCACGTGACTTCACTTGTCGGGTCCTCCGTGACACTGATCAGGTGCTTCACGTAGAGCTTTCCGCTGTCCACCTCCCAGAGCCCATCTTTCACACCTTGGTTTATGGCAAGTGTACAAGGGTCGGGTGATATGATCTTTGGGACACCCTGCGTGAGATTGCTGAGCGTATTGAGGGATTCCTATGGATGGTTAGTGGCGATTTCAACATCTTTCTGCATCCCGATGAGCGTGTGGGTGGCCGTTCGGACCGGTCAAGGGAGATGTGGGATTTTGCTCAGGCGGTGGCGGACTGTGAGTTAATTGACGCTGGATGTGATGGTGAGCCCTTCACGTGGATGAGGGACGGACTCAAAGAGAGGCTCGACCGCGCCTTGGTTTCTGAGGCGTGGGCAAAGGTGTTTGCGGTTACGACCGTCACACACCTTACTCGATTTGGATCTGACCATTCACCCCTTCTCATCCGGTGTCGATTTCCGAGCACCCCCCGCCGCTCTTCCTTTAGGTTCCAGAACATGTGGGTTCGCCACCACTCCTTCCATGACACTGTCAGGGATTCCTGGCTTCAGCTGACTGGGCTCTTCGGGATGCGCAATCTCGAGGCAAAGCTCGGCAGACTGCGGCGTCGGTTGAGACAGTGGAACTGGGATGCTTTTGGAAACCTTCATCAGCGCCTTTCTGCGGCTCAGAGTGCGCACGCGGCGGCTGAGCGGGCCTATGACCTGGATCCCACTCCGGAGAATAGAATTGCGATGCACCGCTGCCACGCCGAGTACCAGCTCCGACTCCTTATGGAGGAGGACTTCTGGAAGCAGTAGGCGGCCGTTCGCTGGGTGGCCGAGGGCGAACGGAACACTAGGTTCTTCTAGGGCTACGTTAGGCAGAAGCATGCTAAGTCGTATGTCCATAGTATCGATGCTGATGGGTCATCCCTGACCTAGGAGGCTCAGATTCGAAAGTCGGTTGTTGCTCACTTCCAGACCCTCTTCACCTCTGACAGAGGGTCTCTCGTTGGCCCGACCGCTTTTTTCTTCCCCATCATCCCTCCTTCGGTCGATCTTATTGGCCTCTGTGAGCTCCCGAGTAGGGAGGAGGTTAGGGATGCTGTTTTCGGGATTGATCCAAACAGCATTTCTGGGCCAAATCGCTTCTATCAGGTCTGCTGTGATTTAGTCGAGCCTGATGTCGAGGAGGCAATGTTGGATTTTTTCTCCGGTCACCGGATGCCGGATTCCTTTACGTCTACCTCCGTCGTCTTGATCCCCAAATGACCCAATCCGAGCTCTTGGTCCGATTACAGGCCCATCATCCTGTGTAACGTCACCAATAAGCTCATTTCGAAGATCCTGAACGGCCTTCTTTCCCCTCTTCTCCCCTCTCTCATCTCTCCGAACCAGAGTGGCTTCGTCAAGGATAGGGTCATTAGTGATAACATCCTTTTGGCCCAGGAGATGATCCACGACATCTCCCGTGCGGATTGGAAGCGAGCCCCAAATATTTTTGTTGGAATGAGTAATGAAGTAGTTTATACAATGATAAAAAAAAAATATTGCATGTGGTAGTCTATATGGAGAGAGTAATGAAGTAGTTTATACAATATTAAAAAAATATCATCAATTTTAATGATATGATTGGTTATTTCACAGGGATATTCATGAACGGTTAGTAAAAATACCTAATAAAGATCATACAATCATGAATTTGACTATATGTTTGGCCATGATATTCGTAAGTGTTTGAATAAAGTATACGTTTTGCCAAATAAATTAAGAAGAATTTTGCAATACTACTGATGCATTGGGCACCAACCGATATAAATCTTTCTTATGAAAAAGTCAAAACCAAAATAAAAGAAAATAACACTTGAATCATCTAACATAAATAAATAAAAGAACTAATGTATCTATAATATACATTAGGTTTTTATTTTTGGTATTGTGTTTTTTTATCCCATTGTTGACTCATTTTTCATACATTTTTGTTAGGTTGTAATATGTTATTTTTTTCTTTTTTATATTAGGACATCATTATGTTACTTTTGAAAAAAAAAAATACATTAGGAGCTCATTTGTTCTACATTTTATTTCGTTCCTGCAATGAAATGTTTAATAAATTAATTAATTTATTTTGCTAAACATAAGTGGCAAAATACATTTACCACTACGTGCATCGCACGTGCACATTACTAGTATAATGGGTTTTAGTAAAGTGTGTGTGTGTGTATATATATATATAGGGTCACGCTCTGGTGAGAATGGTGCTCAGTGAAAGAAATAAAAATGATTCGTAACCATTAGATCGGATGATCTAATGACTAAAAAAAAGTCAAAATTATACATTCATTAAGGGTATTGTAGTAATTTTACACACAATACACAAAGTGGTGGGTCCCTTTCAAAATAATACACCTGCGACCAACCCACCCACCTACTACATTACTGCACATCTCAACCCCACCCCACCCGAAGAAGAAGCCATCTACAACCACTGGAACTCCAAAATTCCCAGCAGCCGTCGAGGCCACATGACTGTCACACACACACACACACACACACACAAATAGTCACGACCCGCTACCACCGCCGGAGAATCACCGCCACCGACACAGAAACACAGCGGTCGAAGAATCGCCGCCGCCGGCACAGCAGTGCAGTGACCGGAGAATCGCCGCCACGCGAACCAGTGCATCCCACGGCCATCAAAACTGCACCAATGCGCAGCCCGTCACAGCCCCGTCCTCACCGGCGCCCCACGGCCACCCGACAAAAGCTCTAATGCTCTCCGACACGACGGCGAATAGTTGGGGATTTTGTCAGTTTGATTACTCGATTTGAGAAACAAAACCGGCCGGATGAGCACATCGCCGGCGAGAGGAGGTACGTCCTCTCGGCTGTGCGATTCGCGACGGCAAGGACGACGAGTGAATTGGCCGACTGAACCATAGGGATGGCGATTTCATCCAAATTGGCAACCAGTCCGATTCTACAGGTGCTCCGGCAACTTTTGAAACCAAAGGCACTGCGATGGCGAGACTAGTCTTAGGTGGGAGACGATTGTGAATGGTTGATGCAGGAGGACGGAAATGAGATCTGTTTTGGGGGGTTTTGAACTGAGAATTCGATACTTTCTAGGGGCCTTTGTGCAAATTTAAATATGTTAATGTATTTACAATATAATTAGTTACTTAAATTGCAATTAATTAAGATTCTAATAAATGCAAATTTAAGTTGTGAGGGCTCACATGAATTGAGTGGTCCGAGTGGATAGAGAGGATGCATCTAAAAAGCATTTGACTTTTTTGTGTTATGCATATATTATATTAAATAATAAATAGATTATTAAATAAAAATAATATAAGATATTAAAATAATATAAAAATATTTTTTTTAATAATAACTAAATTATATAGCAAAAAATAACAAATAAAAAGTTATTCTAAATATTAATGTTAATTAGATGTACAAATATACAAATAATTTAGTTGTGAGGTATAAATTAGCTAGTGCACTTTATAATTTAGGGGATGTCGCACTTTATAAAATAACATGTTGCACTTTATAAAATAATACTTGCACTTTATCACAAATTCCATCTACAAAAAACACGATCATGTTAACGTGCCAGAAATTAATGCGTTGCACTTTATATAGTAATACGTTGCACCTTATAACAAAACTACTGTTACTAATATATACATTTTTTATTAAAAAAAAAAACAATTGCACTTTGAATTCGAATTCATATTAGTGTTAGACTTATTGCACGTTAATGTCTTACAGATTGCACTTTAGCGTTAGACAGGTTGCACCTTAGTGACTGTCGGATTGCACTTTAGCGACCGAAGCCGACTGATTTTTTTTTTTTTCTTTTTTTTGTTGTGTTTGAAATTTATCTTGGATCTATGTGTTTACCTTTAAAATCTTAGTTATTTCGAATCGATGTGAGCTTAATTTTTTTTAAATACCCGAAATATCCGGACCGACCAAACCATATAAAAATCTACTATTTTATATTTTTTAATAATAATATTATTTTTTCAATCCGAATAAATGAAATGTTATATAAAAATATTAATGTGCAATTTAATTATCCTAACGTGCAATTTATAAAAATATTAGACTTATGCACGTTAATGTCTTTCAGATTGCACTTTAGTATTAGATGGTTTGCACATTAGCGACTGCCGGATTGCACTTTAGCGACCGAAGCTGACTGATTTTTTATTTATTTATTTATTTATTTTGTTTGTGTTCGAAAGTTATCTTGGATCGATTATATGTGTTTACCTTTTCCGACTTTAATTTTTAAAATAAATAATCTACTTTAGTTCGGTTCCATGTCGAACTAACCATATGCACAAATTATATAAAAAATATTATTATTATTTTTCTTTTTAATATAAAATATATCAATTAGTTTCAACAATTAATATATAAAATTATTAAAATAATAATCAAGTTTTGATTAATTACGAATATAACCCGTGAACCAAATAGTAATATGACATTATATGTTTGATTGAATTATTAAAGTTTGACTTGATCATCACCACTGATTTGCTAAATATTTGTTTCATTCTTATTTCTTTCACTATCTACCATTTTCACCAAAACCCCATGTGGAGCCCAATAAGGTTAATAAATATAATTTTATAATGAATAAAATATAGTTTATAATGAATTGTTATTTAATATATAGAAGTATAACATTAAAATAGAATAAGTGGGAAACATGTGGACCCATTAAAGAAGAGGTTGTGGTTATTTGGGGTTTTTGGTTGTAAGAGTAAAAATATAGTTTTGGATGATGTGCAAAATAGAAAAAGGAGGTTTGTAGAGGTTTATTATTAGAGATGCTGTAGAGTGCACTTCACGGTACATGTCAGCAATCTCCTTAGTGTCTCCGTGGAGAAGCTTGTAAGAGTTTCCTTTGAAGCCTTGCTTGCGGAGGAGCTTCTCCAGCCTCCTGGGCTCAACCCAAACCCAATGAAATACTTGCCATAGCCATACCACAACTAGTGTCGCTACTGAGATGGCTGCGAATTTCCACAAATTTTCTTTTCTTTTTTCCCTTTGGGGGTTTAAGTGAGATGAGGTCCTCACTGCCCAACTTTTCTTGTATTTATAACTCTGTTTTGGACCTTTCCTTTGCTTATTATGATTTTTCGTTTCCATTATTGTGGTGGATTCATTGATTTGATTTGCTTTGGGCGTTTTTGTGGCGTAGGGGCGTTTAGATTATCGCAAATAGTATTTGGGCACGAGGGCCACGAGGAGCGCGAGGCCTCCTATGGTGTTTTATTTATTTATTTTATTTTTATTTGTTGGAAAATTAGTTTTTAAAATTGAGTTTATCTCGATTTGGACTGATATAAATCTTTTTTTTTTTCGGAGATATTAATGATTGATTAATGTAGAATTAAATTTTATAAAAAAAGAATTATATACAAAGCGAATAAATAAGAACTGATTTTCGTTCAGTGTTTAAATAATTATTAACTTGGCCATTAAGTTTGTTATGGGAACTTGGAAGTCTTAAGGGTGCGTTCGTTTCATAATTTTAAAGACTTTTAAAGACTTGTTAGAATTTGTAAAATATGAATGTTTTTAAATGATTTAAAATTTTAAAATTAAATGTCTTGAGCTATTTAATTAGAATTTTCAGTGACTTTTTAAAGGTCTGTAATGTAAAAATTTAGAGGTATTCAATCTGAACTTTTTAAAGTCTCATAATATCACAAGATATTCATTCCTTTTGGGAGAAAGGGTTTAACGAGGTGGTAATTTCTCTTCTCATATTTCGCTCCCAAAGCCATTTTTGTTCTTCTTTGAAGGTACCAACTAGGGCTGAGCATGGGTCGGTCCAGTTCGGAGATATAAAAATCTCCGAAACCGAACCGAACTTCGGAAAACCCAAAATTTGGATCTCTGAAACCGAACCGGTTCCAAAAAATCTCAGTTCCTAACCGGACTGAAATTCGGTTCGATTCGGATATTATATTCGGATCTAATGGGTTGGTTCGATATGATTCGAAGATTTCAGAAATTTTTGGTTTTTTTTTTTAAAAATTTTCTTCTTCATAAAAAAAACCTACTACATATTACAAAAATATGTCCAACACTAAACTAACAAAAGAAATAAAAGGTCCAACACAAAAAAAAAAAACCCATCATATTCTTCATGGATCACGAACCCTGTGCAAACAACTTCTACTCCGATATTCATCCACCTTCCATTGTTCCACATTTGCAGCAAGAACTAAAACATAAGAGTAAATACTAAAGAAGAAAGGAAAAACATTAGTATATCCATATACACTTCTGCTAGGTAGTAAACATTTAGAATTACAATCTTGTCATTCCCACTAAGTCTTCTCTCCAGGAGACTAGTGTTCAGACACTCGTCAAATCCTCATTAGCATATTACCTTTTTCCCATATATAACCAAACAACATTAGAATATAATCATATAGATGAATACATTTATATGTCTCTATTAGTCAAATATCTAAAGATGTCCAGGAAAGTAAGCTTCCCTTAATATCCGAATCTTGCATTGCATCAATAAAATAAACAGAAATTGAGACAATATCATACACCAATAAGAATAAGAGAAAAAATTGAATTTTAATGAATGTAAAACAAATAGAATTTTTTATAGAACTATAAATGGAGTAACATAAGTTAATGTAAAGAAACTAAAGTTGTTAAATGTTTTATATGAAGTGCATACCTATCTCAAAATTATCAAGATCTTCTATAACTTCTGTAAGTTCGGAGAATTGGCAGTAAATCGACGAACCTTCATCTGCTCTCAGGTTCAGACATCACAAAGATATTTAAGGGAAGCTTATTTTAAATTACTTGGATTAGTTTTTATTACTTCGTTATTGGTTAATACTTATACATGTTTTATTACGGCAGGTCTAATGAAAGGGAATCGGGAATCACATTCCATCTACGATTACCTTCCATGCACGCTCACATACCATATGTGCGAGATCGGGTCGCGCGACCTGGACCTTCCAAAAGAAGACCTGACTTGGCAGCGAAGTTTGTTGAAGAACTTATATGGGTTTGAAGATAAAAGGGCGACGATGATGAGCATTGAGATTTACTTTTTATTATTCCTTAAGGGAAATGATCTGAGGTTTTGAGTGGATTCTATATTCGAGTGATTAATTTATTTTATATTGAGAGAGGCAATCAAAAGTGAGTAGGGGATTTTGTGTAGAGAAAATACAGAGTGGACGGAGGTTCATTCTGTTTTAGTTTGAGGGATTCAAACAAGAAAAACCACAAGGGATTTGTGGTTTGATAAGTAATAGTGCAGATCATTGTTCATTCTGTTTACAGTTTAAGGGATACTGTAAACCCTTGAAGAATGTTTGAGTTGTTTGCATTAATGAAAGAGATCCGAAGGGAGAGTGGGACGCTCTCTTGAAGATTCAAGTTTTGTTGTACGGCTTCCACAATCTGCTTGAATCTACTTTAAATTCTGTGTAGGTTGATTGTGTGCAACTCTGGGTACTTGGGATACAGGTATCAAACTTCAATTGGAACCAGAGCGGGTTTCCTATATTTTGCGAAAGATCTAAGGAAGTGTGGATTAGGCAATCATGAATCAGGAAAGTGGGTCGATGTCTAGGCCTCCGCAATTAGATGGATCAAACTATTCCTACTAGAAATCAATGATGACGATATTTCTAAGATCTCTGGGAAAAGGATCTTGGGAAAGTGTTGAAAATGGTTGGGAACATCCAGTCATGCCGGCTGCTCCAGACCAAGGGAAAGAATCTTCATCGGGTACTGTACCTAAACCGAAAGACATCTGGATGACGCTGAAATCAAAATGAAGGATGAAGAAACGATCGATGTGTACTATGCCAGAATTTGTGATCTGGTAAATCAAAGTGGGATGCAAGGAGAAGAGATCCCCGAAAATCGTCAAGTTCAAAAGATTATGCGGACTGTAGCACCTAGATTCAGAGAGAAAAATACGGCTCTTAAGAGCTTTCAAAGAATTGTGCCTCTAGATGTTGATGAACTTTGCAGGATTCCAAGAAGGGTATGTTACCTTTCAGACATGGAATACCTCTGTCCAAGGAGATGTCTCCTAAGACGTCTCAAAAGATAGAAGACATGAAGACAGTTCCTTATGCTTCGGCAGTAGGAAGTCATATGTATGCAATGTTGTGCACTAGGCCGGATATTAGCTACGCCGTTGGCATGGTGGCTAGATATCAAAGTAACTGGGACAGGAACATTGGTCTGCGGTGAAACATATACTCAAGTATCTGAGAAGGACTAAGGAGTACATGTTAGTTTATCGTGAAGACAGCTTGTTACCTCTGGGTTATAGTGATTCCGATTTCCAGTCAGATAGGGATGAAAGTAAGTCAACCTCAGGTTATGTGTTTACTTTAGGAAGTGGAGCCATTTCATGGAGGAGCGCTAAGCAGAAATGCGTGGCAGACTCCACCATGGAAGTCGAGTACATAGCAGCCTCAGAGGCAGCGAAAGAGGCAGTTTGGCTCAGAAATTTCCTAGTGGACTTAGAGGTGATTCCGAGTTTGCCACGATGTATCACCATGTACTGTGATAACAGTGGAGCAGTAGCAAACTCAAAGGAACCTCGAGCCCACAGAGTAAGCCAACACATAGAGCACAAATACATATGATTCATGATATCGTTGGTAGAGGAGACATTGATGTTGCCAAGATTGCTTCGTCAGGTGTATGGAAATAGGATCGACATAGGTCTTTTAGAATAACGAATTGATAGGACTATACTGTAAAAGCGAAAGCTTTAAGTATAAATATGAGATTGTTAGTGTTATATACTGAAGCTTATCTTTGCATGTTATTACACTTTTGCCTTTTATGGATGAGAATCATGTTAGATTGAACAAGTTCTAAGTTCTGTTGTTTTGCACTTAGATAGAGTGGGTCATCATCGGGTGAACCGAAAATCATTATAGCAGTTACTTGCGAACAAGAATTGTCGTTCACAACCTAGATGGAAATGAACATCCCATCTGAACGGCTGTAGTGTCAACTGTACAGTTTGTCTTGACTGATTAGTTGCACTAATACATTTATGTATTGAACAGGATCCCAGAGAGGAGAAGTTCATTTTATACTGATCGTCGTAAATGAACTAGGCCTCGGTTAATTATGTGTTCTCTTAACCCATAAGATATTAAACAGGCATATATATGTAAAATATATTACTTTGATTCACTTGGGTGAGGTACAGTTGGCTGGATCAATATTCCTACTGTTTTGGGTAATATTACTATATATAGTATGTGCTATTAGGATATTTACGGTGACCATGTGCGTTAGTTTGATGATGTCTCCGGAGTGAGTTCATGAAGGATTATTATGCTAAACCCTGCTGGTGGATTAAATTCCGGCATAGTAAGAACGTGATGAATGAGCGCTAGCTTCGATGAAATAATAATAAATTAATTAATTCTTGATTGTCAGTAATCGAATTAATTAATGGACATTATATCTTAAACGTGGAGAGGTAAATCGAGTAACTATAATTGGAGTCTCAAATGTAATTTGAGCTAGGAAAAGGAGTGCAATAATATTCATGTTGGTGGCCCATAATATTATTTAATTAAGTAGAGAAGTTAGTTTGGCCCACAGTTAGTCTAATTAATTAAGGAGCCCAATTTCTAATCTCCTAAGAGCATCCACAATGCTTTGGGTCTCTTGATAAAAAATCACATGCCATGTAAGAAATAGACATAGTCTATAAAAAAATGGTTCCCAATGCAATTAAAAGTGGACATGGTCTAGCTTATGTGGCAATAAAAAAATGAGACTAAGTCCACACTTGGGTCTATTTTGGACCCAAGTACAAACCCAAACACTAATCATTTATTCCTACTTTAATTTTTCTTTTAATAAAAAAAACATATTAGATCATTTTTATTGGTTGACATATATGTTAGACCTAGTATTTTTATTTTTGCATTGCAAAGTTATTGAAGTTTTTTACTTGGGTTTGTCCACATCATTTAAGACTCAAGTCCAATTATATGCCACATATACAAAAAGAGACCCAAAGCATTGTGGGTGCTCTAAGGGTCCCTACTGTAGCTCTATATATACATCATTAAGCTCATGAGAAGAGAACAAACCCTTCATAACACGTGAAACACGCCGCCCCCTCTCATCTCTCTCTAAGTTCTCATTCGAGCTTTATCTTCTTCTTGTTGCTCCACTAGTACAAGTTGAAGAAGGGTGTTTCAGTAATACAGTAGAAGATCCATAGGTAATTGATACTTGATAATCTTCTACAGAAACTGACGAGTCACGACCCGAAGCCGGGACCCGCCAGCCCTGTCGGATCACCGACGAGACTTGCGACACGATCGGTTGCTCCTCGCGACACGACCAGCCCTGACCCGCGATCCGTTCGTGTGTTTTAGTCTGTTCGTGCGCCGTGTACGTCCATCCAGAAGATCATCCAGATCGCCATAAAATTTTAAGCCGTAAGTTCTCTACGTCAAACCTTTAGATCCACTGCGTATATGTTTATATTTTCTATTGAATTTGTGATTTGTGCATAACTAGATCCTCACAGATCCCAACATTTAGCATAAGCCCTTGCTACCGAATAGTCCTTCTTAGCATCATCCATCCAAACCCATTTGTCTTTCACATCAGGATTGAGGCCTTTAATTTTTCAGATATTTGCACTGTCTGTCTCATTAAATATCTGCTTCACAAGGGTTGAATTCCATCTTCTGCCTCCTACTTCCAAAAGTTCCCATACCCATTGAATCTCAGTGTTGGCAGATACATCTTCTTGAGGATAACGTGACTTGGAATTGCCAATCCAAGGATCTTGCCATGTGTGAGTGGTCAGTCCATCTCCAATTTGAATCTTGAAACAGTGCTTATATCTATCTTTAACCTTCATCCAAGTGGTCCATAGCCAAGAAGCACTTTGGGTGACTCCAGCTTTGAAAAAGCAACCACAAGAGAAGTATTTACTCTGTTAAGAACTTACTAACCAACATATTGGTTTGAATTGAAAAAGTTGATAGGTCTTTGGAAAATGTTTTTTACACCATATCTGCAAGCTGGGGGCCACCTCTAAAAAATGCTGAAAAAAATTTTGGTGGCACATTTTCTCACCTACACAATTTAGGTCAATTTATTGTAAAAAAATTAATTGTGTTTCTTGTTAAAAAAACACTTATCTTAATTTCATCTCCAAAACGC